TGCGATGAGTCACGTTTCCCAGATGACACCAACGAAGTGCCTACGCGTTACGGCTTCTAGACAAGGAACAATTGGCCGGCTGTGCCGACTAATCAGAAGCTGTACGATTTCAAGAATACGAGCACGCGACCGGTAGATACCAGGGTAACTAACAAAGTTCTTTTGTACATGTTATTTAGACCGCGTAACATCACGAGGCGATCCTAATCAAGTTACGTAACCCAATCTTGTACGCAAAAAGTTTCTTACACTATCAGTCCAGACTGCCGTGGAACTGATTTCCCACCCCACACCCGCTACTTTGACTTTTTTCCGTTGAACCACGGTAGTTATCACAACTTGCTTGTATGAATGCCAGATTGCTTTACGTTGTAGCGACTGAAGAGATTAAAAAATGTTAACATCTCGCAGTATTTGTCTTCTCTCAGTTCTAACGTGAATAAATTAATCATTTTATCAGAGAAATTCATAAAATTTACGTACACATATTTTTAAACCACATCAATAACCATAATGACAATAACTACAACACAAATCATAACAAAAGTGGAATGTGATGCTATTTTTCATCCAAAATGAGATCACTTCTTCAAGTTGATTACAAACCTCTTCTTGAAGACATTGAATAGTTTCTTTCAGAATCTGAACAGTTCTCTCATGTTCTTTAACTATACGTTCAGTTTGCGCACTGTGTTCAGCCTTCAATTCGGCAGTTTCCTTCATATATTTAGCAGCAAGTGCAGTATTCTGCGATTCCATTTGTGCATGAAATCTGTATTGATATAGAAATTCGCCTGAATATAGTTGATGAGCGTGTATAATAGATTTAAACAAATGCCTTTATATCAGGGCCCTTCTCTTAATTGGATGCACCACAAGCGGACATCCTGAACAACAGTTTTTATAGCTTAAACAGAATAATTTTATTGTTCATAATGTTTGTCGACTTACACAGAAATAAATGAAATAAAATGTATATTTTTGCTTTAGGAATATAAAAGTTCACAACGAAAGTACGTCATTTTCATGTTTCAGTGGCGATGAAATCTACGCTATATTTGTTTCTTGCTGGTAAAATATCGCTAGAGGATTTGCGAAGCTATAGTGACGGTGATTTATTTTTGTTGATCCAAGTGAAGCATTTCTTTCATAGGAATGACAACCTAACAATAAATTGCGATGTACATGTCATCACTGACCATACACGTACATCCGAATCGAAAACACAGCTAGGGCATTTATGAAGTGTTTATTTACAATAATTAGGATCTGGATTTAGGTATGATAGGTGATTGTCAAGCGCATTGTTTCCATCCGTTATTTAACTGTTCATTTATTTGCCCGAATGAATTTATTTTGAAGATCCGTGCTTGACATCCTTGAAGCTGGCTCTGAACATCAGTGTTCAGATCGAGTGAAATAGCTCTGACCTACGTAGGTATTCTGCTACAGCTTCTTTGATATCAAACGTGTTCCCGATTTTGACGGATTACATGGACAGGTAAAAGGCAAGTGTCATACTTTGAGCTCGTTTGAATACAGTGGACTGCGCTTTTTAATCCTGTATTATGGTCAAACAGTAAGCATGTTCCGCAATGTCCGAAGTTCTCAGCTAAATTGTGAGTTCTTTCCAATTTTCTTTAGAAATGATAATCTTTATTTCAGAAACGAATCCTGCACAATTCAAGTTGATTCTCTTAACCTCAGCTATTTACTGCTGTTCTATGCAAATTAAGTATCTTTCTGAAAGCAAACTCAATTTTGCTAGCTGGAAAACAGTACATTAGCCTATCCAGAAAAAGAAGCAAGAAACTCAGTGAGGGATACTTCCTGTAATTCCTTTGCTTTCATTTCCGCATCTATCGAGTCAAGAGATGATTGGAGGTCTGTTTGACGCTCACAAGCTTCCTTTAGTCGAGCTTCGCTTCTACTGAGTTCCAGTTGTAGCATATCTGATCGGGATCGCTGGAACGGATAGAGTAAAAAGAAGGTCACTATTGACGAAAGATGCATAGTACATTATCCATTAATTCCCCTTAAGAGATAGTGTTCAGGAAAAAATATATATTGAGAAAAATATACTTAATTACGTAATCAATTATTTTTTTGTTATAGTTATGAAAACAAGAAAGGATATTGAGAAACCAGGCAGCTCTCATAGAGTTTGTTTTCGGTGCGCTGCATGTTTAGTGTTTTTTCATTTTAAACTATTTGTATGTTCATGTAATCCGCATTCACACAAGCATTTTTAACGCCAAATCAAACCGATGACTACATTTACCCTCGTTCTTCCACAAACACACTCACAGATTGAAGGCTTTTGACCACCTTGATGTTTTGTATCTCGTTTAAAACACAAGTTATATACTGCCTAGCTCGTATTATTTTCACTTAACCTATTTCAATTCAACCCACACCATCGTTTCGTTGACGCGGTGTACTCATCGACCATAACACTAACGAAAGTGATATCAACGATATAGTCAAGAATCATAATATGGTGGATTTCGTTGTATGCAGAATAAATGAAGCATGAACCAAAGGTTGCTTCGACCTTGTCAGGTTTCATCAGCAATGTGAATCCACCGAAACAACTGAGGATCGAACTCGAAACCCCACAAGTAAAAAAGAAGCATACGACCCACTTGACCACCGGGCAGCTGATGACAGTACTTGCCATGTACTTTTTATTTGATATACACAATGAAAGTCGGTGTCGTATGATAGAGTGTAGGGAAACGAATCGTGCCTCAAAAATCAAACGCAGTCAGGTAACGTGATTGAAAATTATAATAAGTCGACGCCTAGTTTACCGGAGGTAAGCTTCCTCTTCAGTCGAACATTGTTCGGTTCTGAAACGAGGTATACGAAGTAAATGTGTAAAACTTAGAGGATAAGAAATTGGTTTACTTAATTTAGAAAATATAAAAACGACCAATATTCGGCAATGGGCTACTTTTCTATTATGTTCCACCATTAGGGAATACTACAAACTGATAAAACGATCGACTGATACTCTGCGTGTATGCACCCACGCACGCATATGTAAATACCCCAGTATATCTTTTCTTTTAGGTTATTCCCCAGCTAACAAACGCACGGTTTGGACGACCTGTGTGCATAGATACCTTTCGTTAAGCAAGCCCATTAGTACGTCATGTTTTTTTACATTCAGTAAACGGTTAGCTCATAACATAAACCTAATAGAAATTATAGAACAGCTGAATCTTCGTAGTATATGATGCAGATCAAAATGTAAAATCGAACAACATTCACCTCTTCCTGAATGGATTGTTCGAGTGCTTCAGTTCGTTTTAACTGTGTGTTCAGTTGTTCCAAATCCTGCTTACGTGCTTCCGCCAGTTTCTGTAGTTTTTCCTCGTGTTCACGGATAAGTTCTTCTTTTTGTTGAGCTGATTGTTCGAAGAAAGTATCCAACTGCTTGGTCATAGCTAGTTGTAATTGAGTGGACTTGAAAGGAAAAGAAGCGAATGGGAATGATAAATGTTGGACAGCGAATCTGCATAATTCCTGGGTTTCAAATCAACTTCAGAAAAAGTTTTTGTTATTGTATTCGTTTAAGAATTTGTGTTCTACGTACAGAGACAAACAGAAAAATCTCGAACCCATTGCACAACTCTTTTGTTTATCGAAACCGACAGGAAAACTTTCGCCAAATCCATTCGGCTTTAAACCCGAGCACTGATGCTTGTTACTTTTATCATACCAACCACTTGATTTCATGCTACTCTGCCATGGCATTCACCAGGGTGAACTGTAATGAATGATTTCTTCTGTGCTCAAATGTATTGATAACAGTTTGAGATTTTAACACATCTTAACACACAATTGATGAATCTAAAGTATTTTGAATAGAACACGATATACCAAACAAGACCTGTTTTCAATGATTTGTCTGCTTTGACTAATACATCACAATTTATAATACTCGGATAAAATACAAGTGGGCCAAGATGTTACTTACAAAACATTATAATAAAAAGTTAATAAACTTGAAAGAATATAAATAGCTCACAGTTACTTGTGAGTAGTGGTGAGGGATAATTGATGGTGATTTGAACTGGCTATCCTTCGAACTTCACCTTCACGCACAATCCTCAGTTCATCCAGTCAACCATCCCCTCAGAAGCACCAGACACGAGTTTTGCTCTTATAATAGCTCAGTAGTGTATATCCACCGCCCCGTCTGGGTTTTGAACTCCGAACCCATCACCAACTATGTCTTCCTTCGTTACTGTCGGGCCAACAATGAACCGACTGACCATCACAGAGGAAGACATCTTAACAAGCATGAATTGGCAATGCAGTTCAGCCATGGTATGAGTTGGTCGGCACAAATCGATCCCGGTAATCATTTCATGGAAGACCTGGCACAGGAATTCAAATTCGTTCTGTAATGTATCAGGCGAGCAGATTTTTCGCGCTCTGTTAGGGAGACACTAAATCATGTTTCGCTTTCTTTTGTAATTGTATTTACATCTTCTCTAGTCGTCAAGCCTACATTTCAGTCAAAAGTGTACAAGTTGGAGAGAAGGGAAAATCCCAAAACTTTTGTTTCGTTGTTATTCTTTTAGAGGTACGAAACTGTGAACATGAATGCATTATCTACGTGCTTTTTCTATACGCCAAACGTTGGATAGACCCATGTTCTCGGCGTTTGAGGCAAACATCAAGAAATGCTATCTGGCTGTCAGTTTCCCACTAAGAGCAAATTTATTATTTGGACGCACGCATTTGAATTTTGAAGTAGCTCATAGAGACTACTATTTTCACCCATAAAACAATATGCCGTCGAAATATCTTTTGTATAGCTTGCATTTTTCAACGGAATCTTTGAGGGAGTTGCTTTCTAGCACTGCCACGAAGACATCCACAAACAACGGACCTAGTGAGAAGCCCATTGCAACGCCGTCCTCCTGACGATAAATTGTATCCTTGAATTTAAACAGTACGTTATGAGTGCAGAAATAAAGCAAGTGGTTTAGTCTTCAGTCGGGATATCGGTGTTGATGTCAATCATTTGGATGTTGCCCGCTAAGTAATTGATCGCTTCTTCGATAGGAACTTTAGTGAATAGCGAAGTCTAGGGAAAACATTCGTAATCCGATTACATTCATTTCCTGAGCTCGTGAGCATCATCCAGCGTGGTGGCACACTGGGGCGAAGTCAATCACGAGCGCAATCTGTTCACACCTTGTCGAGTCAGGTCATTTCGTTTACTTGACCAGGGCTTTACTTCCCCCTCTGCCAGGCTTGTGAAGAACAATCTAAGCAGATTAAACATCGCATCCTGGCCACAGCGGAAGCAGTGCGAATTCGCATTTACAATCCACCCTGGTATGCGCTAAAATAATTTATGAAGGCATTATGTCTCCCATGACTCTCCATCCACCCCATTTTCACACGCCCCTCACAATCTCCTGCAAATCCGGACCAAACACTACACCGGAAACACTAGACACTCTATATTCTTCCAAGTTTCATAATTTGTTATCATCATTTTCTGAAAGTAATTGCTCTACTCACCCGTATTTTATCCGCGTAAGATAAATTGTTATGTTTAGCCAAAGAAGATGAATCACTGAAAACAAGTCCTGTTTGGTATATCATGTTCTTTTCAAAATGGTTGTTGGTGGTTCATTAGGACTAATCTAACGTACCCTTTAGGCAATCATTAGCAATAGTCCTATCAATCAGTTAGTTATTTTTCAAGGGTTACATTAATAACTAGTCCGTAACCACAAATAACCAATCGATCAAAGGGAAACTATTACAGGAACTTCAGGTAAACTGCTTTCTTGGTGGAAATGAAGCAATACAAAGGTTCGGCAAGCTAATTCATTTAATCATATCTACAGATGAACAAGTTGTATTACTATCTGAACTCATATCTTAGATTTTTGTATCTGTCTCAGATTGGACAAGTTATGTATACTGGTTTTTATGGTCATCTATATTTCGTCTGGACAGTTGGTCGAGCGTTGATCAGACGATTGCCAAAGTCGGTGAAACAACGGCAAAAGGTAGTTGAGAAATTCGTCTAGTTGAATGACCAAAACACCTATGGAAGAACGAAACATGGTTCTTTTGGTTTTGAAAAGGACATTAAAAGGAAACAAACCTGCTCTTCTGACTGACTTCGAACTTTTTCCGCATTGGCTATGGCCATGGCTAACTGTTCCTCCAGTTTATCAATGGCCGCTTTCAGTTCGGCGTGCTTCTCGTCGGCATTACGTTGAACAGCAGCCAATTCTGCATTCTTTCGGGACAACAGTTTGGCAATTTCTATTTCACTCTCTCGGCGAATCTCCACCAGTCTGTCATAGAAGTCTGTTTCCGATATTTGGGCATGGGAAGCGGCCTGATGAACGCGAGTCGTAAAGTAAGAGAGCTTTGTTTTATATGTACTAAGCAGATGCGTATTTCTTAGCACCTTTTATTAAAATCCGTCAGACAAACTAGTTCTACTAAAGTATGTTTGGTGTATTATGCTAATTCGCATTTCGAATGCCAAAAAGCACAGATCAAGGAACACAACACATTGCTGCACTGCAAGTTATGGGTCTCAATAAACTAACTGAAAAAGCGAATAAAAACAAAACATCTAAACATAAACGACAAATAGTGTGTTAAAATGAACGTATTTCAACAATGCACAATTCCTATCAGGAACTTTATTTTTTTCTTAACTAATTGCCAACTTAATTGATTGTGATTGATCTGGTTTGATCATCCTTCCGACTTTACCTTCACGCACAATCCCCATTTAATCCCATCGACCAGACATTTGGGCAACACTAGACTCCAGTTTTGCCCTCAGAACTTCCATAAAGGTATGGACAAACGAGTTAGGAACAAGCTTACAAGACTATCTCATACTTTACATTTTGCTCACAGTTACTTGCGGGTATTAGAAAGGGACAACTGGTGTTAATTTGGACCGACCATCCATATGGTTAGAAACTTTCGAATGAACTTACATAAAATTATATCTTCTTTTGTTACTATCCGGTTCAATGAAGTGACTGATTATCATTGAGGGGGATCAGGGCAAACTTGAATTCTTAGTTCTACTCAGTCTAAAGGTGAGCTCGTTTTCATACTGATAACACACCTTTGGAGTTCGCACCACTACTGATGAGTTTTAACGAGAGCAGAACTGGAGTCTAGTGTTTTCGGGGTGCATGGTTGAATTAAAGAACCTAGGATTGTGCGTGAAGATGAAGTCCAAATCAATATCATTTATCCCATATAACCAAAAAATAACTCAATTGAATGTAAATTAGCTGACTGTTTCCACTGTGAATTTTCGTCCTTGGCATTTTTCAACAAGAATAGGTAGAATCACCCTTTCCGTTGACTTTTAGCAAAAAGCTATGTTCTCAATTTTTTTTAAACCATTCATAAGATATTAGAAAATGACTTAGGATACAGCTGAGTTTAGTTTGTAAAACCACTAACCATGCACTTCGTGCGGCGGTTTGGACGACGGAGTTGAGGGAAGATCGTAATATTAAAGGCAGTGTTGCCCCGATTTTCTTTTGGGGATTTTGTAGGGTGGCTTTCAATTTGGCATGACATTTACTACCACGTGGAGAAAAACGCAGTTTAGTTTGCTTAGGAAGCATTAACTGGGGAAAATTTTCGGAATATGACCCGAGTTATACATCAAAGTCGAATTTGTCTGAGAAATTATAGGTTCGATTTACTGTTGATGTCAAAATCTCTCATTGCTTTCTTCTTTTTCGTCTACTTCTTCATCCGAATTTAAGGTCAGGAGAAAAACAAAAACTGAGCACAGAATTGCAAGGTTGATGATTGTATAAACTGAGCAAAACTACACCTGCAGCCTGAAGAAGTTAATCACACCAAAATCTACAACAGTGAGACGATAAGATTTAACACGGGGACCACTCAGATAGGACTTCACAATCTATGCTAATATTTCACCACCGTACTTTGTTCTCAACAACGATAGATGAGTTTCAGTTTTTACTACCATTAACCATGCACTTCATCTGTGATGCATCCGCCAGGTGAGACTGGGTGCTGGACCAACCCAGTCTTGTAGTAAAATTTTACACTTTGAAGGTGCAAAACACATACCGAACATGACTAAACTAGCACTCAAACGATAGATAGAGCTCACCTTATTCATTTTAGTTCTTAGTGTTGCAAACATATATATTGGTACAGTTTTTAATATGACATTATATTATATTAGGATTCAGGGAAATTTATCCACATGAACCTTACTGATTAAGGAAAGACCATCATCAATAACTGTATATTGATTCTGATCCAGGTCTTAGTCTTGGCTTGACCAAATAAATTTAAGTCTTATTTTAGGGCAATCATTATGTAAATGAGAAAAGAAGCAAAATTTTATCAACAACAAAAGAAACAAGCAACAAAAGAAAATCAATTTTCATCTAAATGTTTCAATGCACTTGCTTTCATCCAGTTGAAGTTCTTGCCAACTGATTCACAAGCTTTTGAGAACTTCTTCATGGGACGCTGAGAATTCTGGTTTGGGATTCGCTTGTGCATTTTCTCCTTTCTAAAAGCATCAAGCACACGAGGGGTTAGGTCTTGGGACTCGTTAGTTGAATGGTCATTCTCACATTCCTGGTCGGAGAGGGCCGATATCTCTCCCTCCGTGCTGGTTGTCACGGAAGAATAACCACCTTTGGTAGTAACACTAACCATGGAATCTGTCAAGTGTGATACCAAGGAAGATGAATGAGGTTTTTGTGGGTCTCGGGGATCTTTGATAGACCGATAGAACTTCCCAAGGCGAGATGCTTTTCGATTTTTTATTGTGCACTTCGTTGAACCGGAACCTCTCGAATGAAACCGTATTTTTCGGGGCCTTTTCATTTTTATGTGATTTTCCAAGTTCTCCATTGCGCAGGGCTGATCACTGGAGTTGTGGTGTGTGAGGGAGTTGTCCTTTTTTGCCTGTTTTATTGAAATATTGTTGAAGAGCACGGTTTACTAAACTCACTATTAGCCAGAAAACTGTAAACAGTTGAAACGCTCAAAACGTCTGTAGAATAGAGATCAAGTTGTCCAAATTAAACTGAGTTTAACAACTGATTTCTAATTTTATTTTACGGAATTTAGAAGAGTTCAAATTATTCTGGGAGGAATAAATGTACATTTATCTTCCAGAGAGCTGTTTTGATTTTGTACATATAACCCATAAGTTCACTTCGTCCCTTTTCAACGATAACACAAATTTAGAGGTCACCAGTTGTGGTAAATGATTCGTCTACTAACCCGGACAGAGCATATATGGAGGTAACGTGTTTTTCATTATCAAAATGTAGAAGCGAGGAGAAATTAATTTTGTTGAAGTGAAGAATCAGAGTACTGTTCGGTATCGAGAAGTACTTTACAATCGCCCGGCCCCTCATCGAACAGATTCATCAGTCCTGTTTGATGAACTTTTTGGCAGCAGTGAAACTTCAATTTGGATAGAAGTCGAATAGGTTGATCGTGTTATATAAACATTATGCAAAACCAGCAGCTTGAAACCAATTATCTGATTTTGATTTCAGCAAAACCTTTGAAAAAGTTCCGCATGATTATCTTTTGCCGAGAATCAGAACCCTTGCCGTTGGAGAATCTCTGATTGGTTTGAACTAAGATTTTAGACAGGGATGACGTTCTGCATTCGAGTCCTCAGTCGATGACACGTTGACATGAGGCCTCTAGCGGTGTCGCAGTAGAGTCATTCCTAGGTTTATTGCTCGACCCGGACTACATTACCAAGTTTTCCAATGCGTTTCTGTCCCATTATCAAACATACACGGAAGATCTGAAACTGGTTTGCAGTGAAGTCTATGGGCAACGGAAAAATTCTCTAGTAAGACTGGAGAGCTCGGAATCGCTGGTCCTTGAGATGGCAGCTGCTGTCAACACTGAGAAATGCGCACAACTGAGTAATATATATATATATATAACACCGGCTTGAGAACATGCTTGGTGCCAACGCCATAACAATATTAACAGTAACTGTAACGAGGAGGGTGGGGTACAGAGTATAGAGAAAGGATGTAGCTGTCAGAGTAGGAGATTACGTATAAGTGGAATAACAATCTTTCGGCGGGGCGTTTCACCGTACACTTAAAAAAAATTATTTGTGGTTTTTACGGGGCACGGGATTTCGACAGGCAGACCGTACAGCATTTGCGCCACTGACTTCTATTCTGGGCCATATCTCTCAGCGTCTCTACCCAACGACAATCCTCATCCCTTAGGTCCAATCTGGAAGGCAGCCTTTGATACAATTACGACAATCATCTACGCCGCATACGACCGACCCACCTCGTTCGTTCACCAAGCTTTGTAACAATAACCTTTTACCATTCGTTGACTTCAGAATATTCCGACACAATTTGATCTGACATACCTAAAAATGGCATGCCTAAAGTTTGTGCGTCGAGGTTAAAGGATTATGAGTCGAGGCTAACGAATTACGGATTTCGGTTAAAAGAATCTAGACGAAGATTAAAAGTTTGTGGGTCCAGGATGAAGAATAACGAATAAAGGATTGATAGGAAAAGAAGTAGTAGATTTGTGTTACAAGAACACAAGCAACCAGTTGAATGGTGGGTCAGGTGCAGGTCACTAAATAAGCAAATTGGTGTAATCAGAGAGCACGTGTTGTAGGCGATCAGTTATTTCATCCTCAAGTTGTCAAAACCAGATTTACGTAAGGAGGAATAAGCTAGTGATAACAACCGGCGAAGAGTAGGGAACGAATTCGAGTTTGTCTCAATTTTTTTCAAGTAATCCAGTTGTGAAAAGATCACAAGGCTAGGCAGGATTCGAACTCACAATTGGACACAACTTACGTCTCAAAGCAGTGTTCGTTCTAGCAACTGAGCTACCAAGCCACGCATAGAAAAGTGATCCTTTTGTATGAAATCGGAATCCGATCTTATCGTAGTAGGTCAGAAAATTTTCACGATTGGGCTTTATGAAAAGTTTTATCTGTCGATAAATGAAATTCTCTTGTTGATAGGCAAATGGGCTATGTAACAGTGGTGGAAATTCACATACATCCCCATTATCATCAAAACACTAACTCTGTGAAACTGTTGGTTTTCTGTTCATTTTGATCTCACATCCAGGAGACAATAAAAGTCCGTAAACAGGTGCTATCGGTTGGAGCCCAGATGGTACACATAAAACACAACTTATGGCGTCAGAAAGAAGAATGCTCGAGAGCAAGGGAGGCAGGCGGGAACGGGAACCGAAAACATTATCTGATCACATGCTTACATTTAACCGGATTGATTTACCTCGTCCACTCATTTTAGCGAACACTATACGAGGATAAACGGGAGAACT